TGTAGTTCACCCTTATCCAGAGAGCACTGAACCCAGACAACAATGGATCTGGACCAAATTTGGCACACAGCACCAAAATGGCCAACTCTGCATACTGGCAGAGTTTGGGCGTGATTGCCCTGGGAATCTGGGAGTTGTAGTTCTCTCTTATCTAGATATCACTGAACCCAGCTAATATTGGATCTCGACCAAATTTGGCACACAGACCCAACATGGCCAACTTTGAATAATGGCAGGGTTTGGGAAGGATTGACCCACAATTCTGGGAATTGTAGTTCACCCACATCCTTATCCCATTTTCTAATGGGAGCATTAAAAAAAAAAAAAGGAAAGATTGGCTTTACACAATATTAAACTGATATTACCAAACTTTGCAAAACAAATAATGCTTTTCTCAAATAACCCAGCAACCACCGGGTCCCCAAGCTAGTATGGAATAAAGAACACAACTTTAAGTAATGGCAGGGTTTGGGAATGACTGACCCACAATTCCAGAAATTGTAGTTCACCCACATCCTTATGGATTTCCTAATGGGAGCATTCATTAAAAACAAAAAAGACTGTTTTTTTTAAAAAAAATAAATAGCATTACACATTGCCAAACTGATATTACCAAACTTCACAAAACAAACAATGCCTTCTCAAATAACCCGGGCACCGCCAGGTCCCCAAGCTATCTATATATATATAAATGCTCTGTGCATAATGAGTACCTTAAAAACAAAAGAACCAATGAACGAAAGCACACCAAATTTGGCAACAAAATGTCTCACAACACAAGGAGTGACCATCACTCAAAAAATTATGATTTTGTCATTTGGGAGTTGTAGTTTCTGGGATTTATAGTTCACCTACAATCAAAGAGCATTCTGAACTCCACTAATGATGGAATTGAACCAAACTTGGCACACAGAACTCCCATGACCAACAGAAAACACTGGAAGGGTTTGGTGGACATTGACCTTGAGTTTGGGAGTTGTAATTCACCTACATCTAGAGAGAACTGTGGTCTCAAACAATGATGGATCTGGACCAAACTTGGCACAAGCACTCAATACGCCCAAATATGAACACAGATGGAG